ATACTGTACTTGTGTCGCAGACTCAGCTGTGCAGTGCTCATTAACAGCAGTTATCTTTCCTCACACCTGTGAGAGTAGAGCTGCACTGAGTCTGTGTATGTTGCTGATGCTTATACTGCACTTGTGTCGCAGACTCAGTTGTGCAATGCTTATTAATCAAGCAGTTCTCTTTCATATTTTTACTTATTTTTTCTCTTTTTTATTTATTTATTTTCTCGATATTTTAGATGAGTTAGACGATGCATTGCTAAAGATCAACTCATTTGAGACCAAGGATAAGGAAAATGAGGTGAAGGAATTGATTCTAACATTGTAATACTGCATTTTGTAAAGGTGCTGTCTTTGCTCTTTGGAATATGAAAACCTTTGGAGTGTAAATTTACCAACACTCACATGTTATCTATCTCATAACTCCTGACAGGTTGCAAGGACCAAGTTTTGTGAAGCATTGAATGAGATTCAACGGTTAAAGACGATTATTAGATCTATGAAAGAAAACAAGACAAACACGCAGCAAGGTTAGTCCATAGGAACAGATATATTCATCAGAGTTTCAGTTCCTAACTTTATACTAACACTATAATCTTGTAACATTAATACGTAAGTGCCACAAATTTGTTCTAAATAGCACTCATAGAACAATGGGAAACAATTGACATGTTGTACTATTTTCGCTGGTTGAAGTAAGTTTAGTACTGTTTCATGCATTGAATATGACCACTTCAGAGTTTGTGGGACAAAAAAGGTTACAACTTTGTTTTTATGTCTACTAAGACTGAAGCAAGTAAAGCAGTTATTTAAAGTAATCTTGGTTGGCTGTTGCATTTTAATCCCAATTTCCCCCTTTTTCATTGACAGAGGAAAATCTTGAATCTCTTCGCATTGAGCTTGCCGGCAAAAACATGAAGATACAGGAACTTCAATACAAAGGGTTAAAAATAGTAGAAGAAAATGAACGGTTAAGAAAAGAAGTGGAATATGGCTACGCTAAACTTGCCAAAATGAAACATGAAGTGAGGAAACTCCGAGAAGAATCGACACAGGAGAACACTGTACAACTAAAACCGTGAGTACATTAACAAGTAGCAAGTGTCGTTAAGTTGGCTTTTTTTTTTTTTTTTTGCCTGCTAAACGAAAGATCTATAAAAGACCTCTATCTTGGGTGTAATCTTTTTTCAATTTCAGACCACGTGTAATTTCTTAGGGTATCATTTGAATAGTTGCGCATGAGAAGACACACGAATATAGATACGACCTAAACAGAATTCTTTATCCTAAAGAGAATGGCACGTGGTCTGAAATGGAGAGACATTATTTACACCCAAGATAGAGGAGATATTTTTATTCTTTTTTAAGGCTTGTGCCAAAGAAAGTAATTGCTGATCAATCACAAATTCGATTAAACCCGATTCCACAACTTGAAAACTTTGTTGGACATAGTTCCTAGCTGAAGCTTAAAGATGAAAATGTGCATGAGCTACGACTTTTCTCTCAACCTAGTTCTATATATTTGGTTCCAACAGGCAATCGTCTACAGAAAAGAGTGATGTTGGTGTCGTCTCCAGTGTGGTTGTCTATTCCCTCAAAGCCAAGGTTGGGCAGCTTGAATGCGAGAATGAAAAACTGAAGAAAGAAAAGGAGCAACTGGAGAAGGACAAGGTTACATTGTCGCTGTTAAAAACTGATGCAGGGTAAGTTGGGTTTTTAATGGGCCGAATCCACTTAGGCGTAATGTTTTTCCATTTTTATTTACGACTCGTCATGCCCTTGAGAATAAGATTCTGTGCTTGAGTTGTACCCATATTCACGTGTCTTCTCATACGCAAACGTTAAACACAGAAATGGTCTGATTAAAAAGAAATCTCAAACTCGTGGTCTCATTTGAAAAAAAAAAATCGTTTCACACAAGTGGATTTGGCTATTGATACATGCACTGATACTTTTTTGATGGTCCTGATTTTCTAGGGCTTTCTTGATTAATTTGAACCATTTTTCCCATTTTCTTATTATTCCAATTATCATCCAGTCTTTTTTCCCACTTTCATTTATTTCATTCTTCAACCTCATATTTCCTTCCACTTCCCTCCTTTTTATTTCCTTCTATTTCATTCCATCTCTTTTCCCATATTCCCATGTTTCTTTACCTTCCAATGAACGAAGTTATTAAGACAATTTGTGAATTAAGTGACCGGGACAAAATAAAAAAATAATGTCTCTTATTATTCAGAAACCAAGTATCACGTCTGACATCTGAAATCCGACATCTACGAAAACAAGTTAAAGAACTCGGCCGTGCCTCTCAACATGTACTCGGTATGTAGATTCAGTTTTCATCTTTACTCGAAACTATGGTGCATGCTACTTACCAACCTTTACAGTTGTTATATTCATATATCAATAAGGCACAGAACAGAAGAAATCCCGGAAAAACGTGCAGAAAACAGTGCATTTTGGGCTTGGTATGCAAACTTGCAAAAAAAAATCGTCATCAAAAATAGCTGCATTTAGAGACACTTTACGAGTAAACTTGCGATGTGTGGAGCTGTCTTGCTCGCCGAAACATGAAGGGCACTATTTTTGTCACGTCACTTTTATACTAATCTCTTTGTTGTCACACAGTTCCCAGTAATACCCAGGATGATAGTTCATTCTGCCATACGCACTCTCGCTCAGAACCAAACAGCGACAAAGGAAGCAGCAAGACCGTAAGAGAAACAGAAAATAGACCAACGCAATCAAACTGGCTGTCACCATCTAAAGCTAATGAGATGTTCCAAGACCAACCCAATCAGTGTCAACACCAATAATGATAGGGCACGCCAGGATGTGGCCAGTCTTCAGCCATGCGCACTGTGTAACCTCCCTTGGTCGTTGGCTGCCATCGGAATTATCCCATTCACAGTTCCCTGCGCCATCTTGAAAGGTAACCGTGCCTGTTCATCGAAGCAAGGACGGCCGTTCTTGCTTCGATGCACAGCCCACGGTTACCTTCCAAGATGTTGCAGGGAACTCTGAAGGAGACTTTTGGATGAAGGGTAAAAAAGGACCTAATTTTTTTCCTGATGGTTGGAAAAGACATAAAATGGAATCTAAGTGGTTGGCGCAGGAAAAAATGGAGATACTTGAGGGGGAGGGTGGGGGACGGTGTTGATCCAATGCACCTGCCATGTTTCGGTTCTGCTGGGAAATTTTCGTCCTGGTCATAGTTGTGTTCATGTACATATGGGGTGCTATAGGTTTGTACATATAATGATATTACATAATTAAATATTACGGCTTTTTTTTCACATTCACTTGAATTAGTCTCGTTGGCAAAACAGTTCTTTACCGTATAAAATTCGAGGTTTCTGTCGGATTGATAAATAACTCCATACTACTTATTAAAAGCTTTATTTTTTTCCCCTCTGAATCAAGAAGCTAAATATTGATCTGTCTTATGCCAGAATGCGAAAATATATTAACTGCGATAGTTTTACACTTAAAATGAAAGTAAAAATCTAAAGACTCGGAAATAATGCCAATAATGCAAATTGGATCGATAAATAATTCATATACTACTTATAAAAAGCTTTATTTTTCCCCTCTCAATCAAGAAACTAAATCAGTGTTGATTCGTACCTTTTCTCGTTGCTGTCTCATACCAAGATACAAGAAAAGAATATTAATTGCCCAAATTTTACACTTAGAATTAAAGTGAGAACCTAAACTCTCAGAAATAATGCCAATTGCTTTAAAACAATCTGTTTTATTTTGGAAGACAAGATTAATTTCTCAAACATGAGGTTTGTTTTTACAGTAAATAAGGAAAAGAAATTTTGGGATGCATGTAGCTGTCCGTTTAATGTATGTTTTCTGCTCCAAGTTTATTTCACATTTAGTAAATAAAATAGGGAAAATTTCGAAATTGCGGTTGTCCGCTTTACAGAGGAATCACTGTATTTGGTTGCCGGAAAGATTTAAATGTGAATTTATTTATAGCCTTTTTTTCCTCCTTTGATTCAGCCGCAATTCCCAAGTTTTTAGCCATAACAACTTACTTTTAAGTCATTGTTTGTTCGAGTATATTTTATTACGTTGCGCTTCCTCAGTTAATACTACAATTATCGGACATGATAAAAACAAGATGTACGCATGTCACTACAGCACAAGCACTTGCAAGCAAAAAATTCGCTTTTGCTACGAATTTAGCCTGAGCCTTTCGCCTCCGTCCCCCTACGAAAGATTAGCAGTTTCATAACATAATTGCCAAAAGTATTGCATGACTACAAGGGTACTGCTAAAAATAATTTGCCAACACGCGGGAAAAGGAGCAACTTGTCAAATTTCAAGGGGATAGCATAACAGCAAATACAGCCGTTACTTGTTGGAAGAGGAAAAGGCAGACTGGTCGTAGTCATGCAAAGTAGCCGAATCAGTTCTAGTTAGTACTCCTTTTGATGAATCTGAACAATGACCTCAATATAGTTGAACCTTATGAACACTCGATTATTATTACGGACACTAGTTTTGATCTCGGTAGTGGATCGCATTTGCAGTCGAACATTCTTGGATTGTATTTACAGTCGAACCTCCGGACACTTGTTTTAATCCTAGTAGATCGATATACTGTCGAGCCTCCCTATTACGGACACTTGTTTTCGTCCTAGTAGATCGATATACTGTCGAGCCTCCCTATTACGGACACTTTTTCGTCCTAGTAGATCGATATACTGTCGAGCCTCCCTATTACGGACACTTTTTTTCGTCCTAGTAGATCGATATACTGTCGAGCCTCCATATTACGGACACTTGTTTTTCGTCCTAGTAGATCGATATACTGTCGAGCCTCCCCTATTACGGTCCTTTCAATTTTTCTTTTAACCTTTTTTATCTTTTTCCTTCTATCTTTTCAATTTATTTATTCTTTCTTTTCTTCTTTCTCTCCCTTTCAATATTTCTTTCTTTCAATTATCATTCTTTCCTGCTTTTGTCTTACTAAACTTTGTTTTCTTCACTCCCCCTCTTTGTCTTTCTATTTCTTTTATTCTTTCTTTCTTTTCTCTCTTATTTTTTCTCCGTCCTGTTGGCCCACTGTTTCTTTTTATTTTCTTCAGTAAAACTACAATGTATCGAATTTTTGACCGGATTACTTCAAACAAATTGTTAGTCACCCTCGCGTGTTTACAGTTGATTCTAACTCAATTTCCATCAAGCCTACTCTAATTTCGTATTATACATAATAATGTTCTACTGTCGCTGTTTATGTCTAGTTTCTTTCATATAGTTAATAGAAGCGGTCCAATTCGGGGTCAAATGAAAAATCATTGTCCATCTGTTTTTTCGGAAAATATTAAGTTTTACTTGGACAAAACATCGTAATCGCAATTTATGACACCTTTTTTGTGATACAGAATTCGTTGTTCTTTATACTTTGCGGTACTATTCGGGCGAAAAAATTGTCTTTATCAGCTCTTTCGGAATAACAAATTTCTATTTACAAACCCATTATAATTGCAATAGAAATTTGTGTGCAAGCATGACGACTTATTTTGCTAATATAGAATTCGAAGTTCTTTTTACGTAAGTGAATTATATTCGTTTTTTCAGCAAAGCCTTAGTCACTTCTTTTCAAAAATGTAGAAATCCATCGACTTTTATAACGTTTGTCAAAAAGTATGTATCAAACACGAATTTGAAGGAGTCTTAGCCATAAAAATGAGAAATGAGGGAATGAAAAAGAAAGGATATAAACTTCAGTTTATCACCAATGCCATATCGTATTGTTTTGTTTTAGTGTCAAATTTGTCAAAAGTCATAATTAAAATCGACTAAAACCGGATAATCCAAAGAAAAGAAAAATCCCTTCTCAATTACTTTGTATGTGACAATCAGGAAGTACTTGTCACTTTGTGGAAGAAGATTAGGATATCAAAAGAATAGATATTAAATGTTATTTGTTCTGTCGATGAGGTGGTTTTTCCTCACGACTGTTGCATTCTAGATGTGTTGATAGTGGGAGGTATCGAAGTTCATGGGATAGACTTTCTTGAAATAAGGCAGCAGATGATTTTTAACTCCATTCAAATTATAATTACATCTTTACAAACATATAGCCTGGCTTGCGCTCAGTTGGATTAAAGCTGAATGGAATGAAGAACTAAGAAGTACACTAATGAATTATTTTTGAGTTCACTGTAATCTTGTTGCCTGAAGAAGATATCGCCATTTCACCTGCTCGTCTAAGATAACTCGATGAGTGAATTCTTCGGGTGAGACTAGAATTACATCTGAGACAAGAGTTTTTTTCGACTTCATTGTTAATTTTCTTGTCTGGAAAAAAGACGTTAGAATCTCACTAGATCATCAGTGGACGATTTAACTGGAATCTTTTAAGATTACTGAAGCGCTTTACCTGAGAATATTTGTCATCTGCGGACATTTCTTTGAAGTTCACGGACTGAACTCCGCATGGAATCCTCCAAGATTCAGTACACGAATTTACATCTGAAAAATATATTCGAGTTCGCAGAGTTATTTTAGTTCAGGGTTACTGAAAAAGACTTTGTTAGGGCGGACATTCATTCAACTGAACTGTAACTGAAACTTTGCCGCGGACTGTGGACTAGAATTACATAGTAGACGTTGTCTACTGGAATTCGGAATAGACTCAGTTTTGTCAAAGACATCAAAAGAAGAGGCAGAAAACTCACGCTAAAAACTTTAAACTACATGCCCTCATTTAGCAGATTTCGTACAGGTTAAAAAGGTTTTTTTGGTAGTTTTGATAAGAAAGATACTCTGTCAAATAATTATAAAAAGAAAGTTGTCGTTGCACTTCGGCCGGAGGCTAAGCAAGGAAAATCTACCTCGATCTCTTCCCCCCATCAAAACGGATTACTGCTAAGCTGAAGGACGGTTCTCAGTTTGAGAAATTTACTGAGAAGAAGATATGATAATAACGTTTCGCATGATGAAAGAAAATGCAACGATGAACTCTACGATTAATTCAACTGCAAGATTTCCCACGCTAAATGTATCCAATACGTCAAACGTCTATCGATCACTGACCATCGCGCAAATGATAATTTACGCCGTCCTCGGAGTCTTCATTCTAGTTGGAAATGCCCTGTGCTTAGCTGTGTTCCTGAAAACCAAAAAACTACGAAAGCGTTCGTACTATCTTCTAATAAGTTTATCGGTAGCGGATTTGATGGTGGGGTTGTCTGCCTCTGTGATATGCGTGGAGGATGGACTGAGTCTTTTTCATGGAACCAAGAATGTGTTATTCGCATTCTGGAGGGACGTTACACAGTATTTCCCGAGAATGTGCTCGCTATTTACTATAGCTACTGTTGCCCTTGAAAGATTCTGGGCGGTTGGTTTTCCCACGAAACACAGATCTGCTGGTACACGCCCTTATGTTGCACTTATCGCTCTGCCTTGGATTCTTGCAGTCGCATCCACGGTTCTTTTTATTTCCAGTGGAAGAAGATTCGTTTCCGAGCACGCCTTCAATTTTGTGGACGTTGCACTATCCCAAGCAACACTGTTGACAATCATCATAGCATACTGTGGGCTTTTGAAGAAGATGAGAAGCAACAGCATAAGAAGCAACAAGCCACAGATTAACGCAATTCGAGAACGAAAACTAGCTGTCACGCTCTTTGTCGTCACGTTAGCATCTCTACTAACAATCTATCCTGTTAACATTTACTTTCTTTTTGAGATATTTTGTAAAAATTTTAACACTACATCATCGAAGCATCATTTGATTTTTCTGATTGCTTTGGCTTCCAGTAACTCAGGAATCAATATTGTTGTATATTTATTTAGGATTCCCGAGTTTAAGAGGGCTGTTTTTAGACTGGTTCCATGGAAGAAGAGGCGCAGTTCGCGTGTTGCGTGTTCATCGCAGATTAACGATGCGGCAGGATCTGAACACCCTGAAACCATTCAACAAGAAACACAGTTTAATGATGGTTCGTTTGAGCCCAAATTAAAACCAGACCGAACGCCAAGCAAGTATTTATTCAAATCATGCTGTTAGTCCATAAAATACCGCTATATACTGACTGTACCTTGATTACAGACTCTCAGGATTACACTGACTGTACCTCGTTCACTGACTCTCAGGATTACACTGACTGTACCTTGATTACAGACTCTCAGGATTACGCTGACTGTACCTTGATTACAGACTCTCAGGATTACACTGACTGTACCTTGATTACAGACTCTCAGGATTACACTGACTGTACCTTGATTGCAGACTCTCAGGATTAGCCTGCAGCGTCAACATATTCACAAATATTTTAAAAAAGTGAAAAATGCATTATCACTCATTTCATTTTGTTTTTGCACACCTAGTATCATATATTGATATTATCATTTGTAGCTGTTTTATTTTGGTGAAAGCTTATAAATATATAAATAAATAAATATTAGATAAATAATTATGCAGAAAACAGTTTGGGAGGCAGTTTGTTCTCCTATGAAGAAGCAAAAACATTTTAAGAGTTAATGAACTCAAAGAACTCCTTATACTAACCTTATCTTCGGAATGCGCACTTATATAATGTGTAGGGGAAATCGCTGCCTATCTTGGCTAACCATTAGGTTATTATAGGTAGCTTGTACCTAATTTTTTGTTGATCTACATATTTATAATTTTTAAATATTATCAAATAGAGGTGCTAAATAAATAATAAAGTATGTATGTATGTATGTATGTGAAAAAAGTACTAACATTACTGTATCATTATACTGGCAAAATAGTTATATTCTAACATGTATTTAATTGTTTAAGTAGTTGTATCCCTTAGAGCTTGAGTTTGTATCTTATTCTCCTACATCAATTTATCGGATTTAATCGCTAGCTAGACCTATATGAACGAGATTGAAATAATACAGCGGTAGCCAAATCTTTCTTCAGGAAAGAGGGGGAAGCTCTAAATCTAACACTGAGTAAATGTTAATACCACAATACAACATTATTTGCGATTGACGGGATGTTCATCTTTTCGGTATATATCGCGGCGAGAGTCTCTTGCGCTCAAGTGTCAAATGAATCTCGGGTCATTTCTTCTTTTTCCATCTTTTTTTCATCATTTTTCTAAATAATCAGAGGTTTATTCCTTCTTTTATGAGCACAACCAACTTATTTGTTCCACGCGCCATTTGCATTTCGTCCAGTTTTTTAAAATATTATTTTTCAATTTTTTTCCAATTTTTTTTTTWAATTCTATTAATTTTTTTGAGTTGCTAAGAAAAAAGCAATAAAAAGATTCACTGCAGCTGTTGAATCCACTTGAAAACAATGTTTATCATTTCCGAAATTTGATGACATTTAATTTAAATAATAATCCTAATTCTCAAGGGAACGACACAGTTTGGTCAAATTTCGAAAATAATACGTGGTTCTGATATGGGTAAAAAGTCCATATATATTGGCCAGTTGCCTGACATCAGTCGAGATGTTTGATGGTACAGTTCAAACTGTAAGTGATATGGATGTATAGTTTTTGTGTCTTTTTTTGTCATTTTTTCAATCATTGATTATTATTTTTGGCCTATGTGTTCATACAGTGTGTTATTATGCTCATTATTATAATCGTAAATAGCAGAAATCYCGACCCTAAATGTAATGACTTTTAGTTAAGGATATGTAAACCGACTTCCAAGCATTTTTAGCTTTCTAGTTATTTTTGGAAGTTGGTACCCCTCAATCTGTTTTAACATAAAATATTGTATCAAATTAGAACAAAAATGTAAGAATTAATTGGTACAAATAAAGTTCGTTTTCTATGGAAAAGTGATATTTAGTATATTCAGTTCATTCCGTGTTTCTGTCACACTGATATCAGTGCTTCTGTAAATGTAAGATAGAAGACTAAACTGTATTGAGAGAAAAGCTTATTTGACTTAGCCTACTCCTAAAGCAGCACCACGAATAGAAACAAAAAAATTAAGAAACAATATATTAGGTATTAGTTTATCGAAATCGTACTATTAGATAGACTAGGAATCCATTACAGTATTTCTCACATTATAATTAGCCATTCCGAGATTGAGAAAAAAACTGGGTCGAGGTTACATTTCAGTGTATTGTGGGAATTTTTTAGAGGACAAAATAGACGATCTTGGAAATACGTGGGCGTAAGGTTTTCCTATTTCAGAACACTTGCTATTCCCTAGATTATCATTTCTTTGATTAACGGTTGAGCATGCAGTAGAGCACACATGAAAATGATGGATACGACTCAAACAAAGAGTCTTATTCTAAAAGAGAAAGACAGGTGGTCTGAAATGGGAAATTATTTCACCGCAGGCTAAAGAGGTATATTCAAGGAGGTTGCAACCCCTGCAGTTACTTTAAACATGCATCCGGAAGAATATTACTTTTTCTTCTATAAACAAGAATTTCCAATAATGGCTTAAATAAATCAAAACCCAGCACAAACGTTGTTCTTGTATACAGCTGCTTGTAACAACAGCACTATCCTTGTGATAAAAGTTTAGCAATTTTTACTCTCACGGAACCGATGCGACGAACCAATCCATAAGAATCCGCGAGTCATAATTTCTTGGTAAAGTTAAGATATTCTTCAAACGCTAAGTATAACAGTTACATACGTATTCTTAAAGTTTCGTATTCGAGAAAAGAAAAACTGAAAAAGGAACAACTGGATCTGAACGATTCAAATTCAATGTCGCTTGAGGTTTCTTGGTTTTAGATAGTGGAACACTGCAACATTACATTATGAAATTATATTCAGAAATGGATTTTCTTCTGAACTAATTGATTTCAACTGCGAAAGCGGAGACGGAGGGCAAAGAGTCGACCCAGCTGAGTGCCAACAACTCTCATCCCTGCTCCTCATCGAAAGTAATTGTGCGGTTGAAGTACTTTTCTTGTACTTTGACCTATCTATTGCAGCATGTAACCGTTCATAGTGCACTGCACCACTGTTTCACCTGTGCAAACTCCCTTTTAAAGTAAAAGCTAACACAATTCAAGGTTGCGATCAAGTGTTTATGGAAGACATCAGAGTTGTTAAGAATTATTCGTGAAATACAAACAACTAAAGTAATTCTCCTTGGCACAAAGTTCTAGACATGAAAGGTACATCATCTGAGCAGGCCATAGCAAACAACACCAGGGTTAGTCTGTTGTTGCTTATAGGAACATTTATTCTTTTGGGGAACATCTTATGCTTGATAGTTTTTCTTCAGACGAAGCGCCTACGCACACGGCCCTATTACCTTGCTGTATGCCTGTGTTTGATTGACTTAATGGTTGGCTTGACGACAATGGGGATAGCTGTTGAGGATCTAGCTTAGCTATGGTTTTCGAAGAGTTTCAATCCTGTTTTATCTGTAGTGTTTATAGAGTTAAACTATCTTCTAGTAGTTGCCTCAATCTCCACAATCGCTTCAATCTCCGTCGAAAGACTATGGGCAGTCGTGTTCCCTATTCATCACAGAAACGCTGTTCCGAAACTCTACATTATTTTCATCGCTGTGCCTTGTCTCATAGCAGCTACAAATTCGTGTTTGGGGCTCTTGGCTTCATCCGGCATCATTACTTGGTATCCTTTCCTCTATTTTGACCAAGTGAAAATGTTGACCATTTGTGTTACAATATTCGGTTGCTATTTAGGAATCTTTATGAAACAAAAGTGCAGGAACATAACTGCAGACTCCCGGAGAAAAACTTTACGTGATAAAAAGTTGGCTGGTACTCTTTTTCTTGTGACCTTCGCATCTTTTATAACCTGGTTTCCAGTTAGCGTGTATTATCAAGTGCTTACTTACCAAGAAAAGATAAGTTACACAGCGACATCTAGCAACAAGACATTCTTCTTTTTAATTGCCCTTAGTATTTGCAATTCTGGTGTCAACGTAGTAGTTTACATGTTTCGCATGCCAGAATTTAAAAGAGCAGCCAAATCCATCATTTGCAAGTATTGCTCAAGATCTACACGGCGAATCAATGTCCAAAACATCTCCAGGAGAAAACCGCCTTCAAGGAATGTAAATGCATTGGCTCGCATGGATTGTGAGTGCATCGTGATATCAAGCTGCCCGGATCAGCTGAGGTTTGATATTTCTGGTTCAAATGTTTTGACTCATTGTCAGGAAGCTGTTACTTCCTCTGGAGTCAAAGGACAAGATGGCCAAGCGAGAGAGTCTTCTGTTATTCCTGTTACTGATGTTACTGGTACTTCTTACAAGCATTCAGACACTCCATCCGAAAAGGAAGATTTAAATTCTTTTGATGAATGAAGTGTTGATGAGCATGATTCTTGAGGCCTTATGAGCCACCTGGTACGAAACAGAGAGGTGGAAGTGAAGTCAGAACTGTTTGTGAAACAATATAAAACATTTGGTTCCAAACCCCGTCTTAAAACGATCTAGAATTTAAAAGGAAGAAACAATAACCAGAAATGTTATCCGGCCAC